TCATGTTTTAGTGAGGCTGCGAGGCTGCGAGGCTGCAGTAGTGGTGTTTGGAGTGATTTTGTGGTGGGCAGAGGGTATGTGCATGCTGTCCCTGCGACGCTGGTAGTAAATGGCCAACGAAACGGAGGACCGCATAAAACGATGAAGATGACCAGAATGATGACCCAGTGAATGCAGCGAACTACAGATGGCGCAGTGCGAGATGTCGTTTTCCTAAGAACGATCAACTCAGAAGAGACCAGCCGGTACTCAGGAGACCAGCCGGTACTCAGGAACCAGCCGGTTGCTTATTTCTCCCTTGGCCCCTGCACATCTTGGTGCGCACAGACCAACACAGAGCGGTAGCCTCGCAGCCTCACAACCAGGAACCTCAACTCTGAAAGCCAAAGGAAGCTAAAGCCATCACTTCCTCCTGCTTGCTCCCAGCTCCCACACACTGCACTCTCGACCATCACCCCATCTCCCACCGGACGACCGAACGCATCTCACCACGCCATGCGCTGAAGTACACGCGCCTCACCATGTCGACACAGCGCAACGGCACGTCCAATGGCGCCTACGCGACGCCCACGAGCAAGCGCTTCTCCGACATTCCCTCTGCGATCGACGTGCCCGTCCATGGCGAAGCCGAAGACGAAGCCGTCGAGATTGACCTCGAGGCCCTCTTCGACGATCCCACAGAAGTCTGCACGCTGCTGGAGAACGAGCGAGCGGCACGCACATACTGGATGACCGTGGCCCTCGCCTACGCCAAGCAGAAGAACATCGACCATGCCATCGAGATGCTGGTCCGCGGCGGCAACTCGATGCGCGACAACACGCCGCGCGAGAAGCTCAGCCTGATCGGATGCCTGTGCTGGATGTACCTGTGGAAGGTCCGCGAGGCCCCGCGCCTGCCCCCCGACGGCGTGCCGGCGAGCGAGGCCAAGACGAAGGAGCACTACCTCCAGCTGGCGACGTCGACGCTCAACAACGCATCACGCATCAACCACGCGTTCCCGCCCCTGTTCCTCGCGCGCGGCGTTCTGCAGCTGCTGCGCGCGTCGCTGCAGATCCCCAAGGCCACCGGCCTCGGCAAGCTGGACAACGAAAAGGCGGACCTGCTGCGGGCGGCGCTCAAGGCGTTCGAGGATGCCATTCGCGTGTCGCAGGGCAAGAACATGCTGGCCGTCATGGGCAAGGCGAGGGCCCTCTTCTCCCTCGGCAAGTTTCCCGAGTCGCTCGCCTGCTACCAGGAGGTGCTCGGCAAGATGCCCGATCTCGTCGATCCCGACCCGAGAATCGGCATTGGCGCCTGCTTCTGGCAGCTGGGCTTCAAGGACGACGCGAGAAGCGCCTGGGAGCGCTGCCTCGAGATCAACCCGGACCACAAGGTCGGCAACATCCTGCTCGGCCTCTACTACCTCGACGCCAGCGGCCACGTGCCGACAAACAGCCCCGACTTCATCCGTCTCTACAAGAAGGCCATGACCGAGTACACGCAAAAATCATTCAAGCTCGACAAGAACATGCCCCTGACCTGCGCCACGTTCGCCAACTACTTCCTCTCCCGCAAGCAGCTGGGCACCGTCGACACGCTCGCCCACAAGGCGATCCAGTACACCGACGTCAACGCCATCGCCAGCGACGGCTGGTACCTCCTGGCCCGCAAGGAGCACCACGAGGGCGACCCCAGCAAGGCGTCCGACTACTACCGCCGAGCCGACGATGCCAGGGGCGGTGCCGACCGCGGCTACCTGCCAGCCAAGTTTGGCGCCGCGCAGTTGTCCGTTATGAGGGGCGACCTCGCAGAGGCCAAGCTGACGCTGGAAAAGATGGTCCAGCAGTCCAAGCACCACGAGGCCCTGGTTCTCCTGGGCACGCTCTACGCCGAAGAGGTGTTCGCGAACCAGGACCTGGACGCCAAGGAAGACAAGTCGGCCGAGACGAAGAAGGCCATTGGGCTCCTGGAGAGCGTGCGCGGCGCGTGGCGGGACTCGAAGAAGAATCTCAACCCTGACGCGGCCGTCCTGCTCAACCTCGCCCGCCTCTACGAGGCAGAGCACCCCGACAAGGCGCTGCAATGCCTGCTGCAGGTCGAGCAGCTCGAGATGGACCTTGTCAGCGCGGCAGACCGGCCGCCACCCGACACGGACGAGGCCGAGACGAAGAAGGCTCTTCGCAGGTTCCTGCCGCCTCAGCTGCTCAACAACATTGGCTGCTTCTACTCACAGTCGGAGAGGCACGAGCAGGCCAGCGAGCTGTTCGAGGCGGCGCTGGACGCGTGCATGAAGCTCGGCGAAAAGGACGAAGACGCCGACGTCGACGCGCTCGTCACGACCATCAGCTTCAACCTCGGCCGCAGCTACGAGTCGCGGGGCATGCTAGATGATGCCGTCAAGGTGTACGAGGAGCTCCTCAAGCGTCACGATGACTACACAGATGCCCGCGTTAGGCTCGCGTACATTAAGCTGCGAAAGTTTCCTCACAAGGAGGGCCCCGAGGCCGTGTCCAAGCTGTACAAGGAGAACGCGAGGGACCTGGAGGTGCGCGCCCTGTACGGCTGGTACCTGGGCAAAGTGCCGTCGCGGAAGAGGTCAGGCAACATCAACGAGGACGACGAGTTCCGCCACTACAAGCACACGCTCCGCGACCACGACAAGCACGACCGCTACGCGCTGGTCGGCGCCGGCAACCTGCACCTGCTGACGGCGCGCGAGATGCGGCGCGAGAGCGACAGCGACAAGGCCAAGCGCAGCGCCATGTACACCAAGGCGGTCGAGTTTTTCGAGAAGGCGCTCTCGCTGGACCCCCTCAACGCCTACGCCGCGCAGGGCATCGCCATTGCGCTGGTCGAGGACAGGAAGGACTACAAGACGGCGCTGGGCATCTTTGTCAAGATTCGCGACACGGTCAAGGACGCGCACGTGTTTGTCAACCTCGGCCACATCTACGCCGAGCTGCGGCAGTACTCCAAGGCCCTCGAGAACTACGAGACGGCGCTGTCGAAGGAGGGCAAGAGCAACGATCCTGTCATCCTGAGCGTGCTGGGCCGCACGTGGCTGACAAGGCCGCTCGGAGAAGACCTCGACGCGTACACCCAGCACTGTCGTATGCGAAAAAGGAGTCACGCAGACCAGGGGGCGCACACATCCATGGACGCGCATACATACATCTCTACGTGATGACGGCTACATTTTCCTGTCACAGCTCATCGAGCTGCGCGGAGCAGGGCACTACAGTACACCGGGGGGTAGTGCAGATCAGCATGGGTCGACGATCTACTAGCTTCTGAAAAGTTCGCGTCGTGCACCACTGGATG